TTTCCACCTCCGAGCACTTGCTTGGTGACACCAGGTCCTCGGGCACCATTGACCCGCCTTCTCTGAGACAGCGTATGTTCACTGGCACGCTGTGATTAAGGAGCTGGAAATGCCAGGCTCTCAGAGGGTGAGATCTGGGCTCCCTGCTCCTTATTTCTGGTCAATATGTTGCTCTCGTTTGTCTGGCTAATGAAGAGCTGACCTTTCTAAGTGGATGCGTTTTTTTTTGCAATGACAACTGCCAGAGAGCTAACAACATAGCAGAGCTTTCAAGGCAGATTTGGCCTTTCCTTTGGCAAATTTCAGTCAAAGAGATCCCAGGCTCAAAAGTCAAGCTCTCAGCTTTGGCTCCCACATTACTGGGCTTGGAGAAACTCAACAAAATCTGGGCAACATTGGTCCAACCTGTCCCCTGCTCATTAGAAGCAGGCTTTCCTCTGATCGTAACAAGCCAACATTCAGCAGCACCGCACATTCTAGCTCCCCACCCACCTGGTGGGCACTGATGCTGCCGCTCAGTGGAGCAGATGGGCAGTGAGGTCAGACCGCCCCCTCCACACACACAGCATCGGGACTGTGCTGCCTGCCTGATGGACTCTGCTGGTACCGGGACTGGACTCTTTCTGCTTCAGCATGGGGGTAAAACCCTGCCCTCAATGGAGAGCGTAGGAAAAGAGTGCCCTGTGATCACTGTCGGAGCGATGGCACTTCTCTGGATACCTGCCTCTCCATCCCAGTCTAATGAAGCTGCAGTGAAAGATATATTCCTGCTTTTTAACTCCCTACCTCCTTCCTGCCTCTCATTTCTTTCATTTATCGCTTCTGAACACCCACAGGGCTCCAGACTCTCCTTGATCTATTTCCATCTGACTCCATTAGGATCCCTGCAAGAAAGAGCCAAAAGCCTAAAACGCAAAACGACATGGGGAGACACTGTGAGTTTGGGTCTTTCTGGCTGGTTTGGCTTCACGGTTAACCGCGTCCCCTTTCTGAATACCAGCTTCTCCGAGCTGTCAGCCTTCTTCCTGCAGCAGGGCATTTTACAACGACTGACAGGAGGAACTTCATGAATCTTAAAAAAAAAAAACCAGTCAGTTTCTCTCTCTTCCCGGCTGGGTGCAGCCGCAAATACACTAAAGCCAAATCTTTCTATCTGCTCTAATTATCAGCAAGGATACAAGTCACCACGAGGAGAAAGGTATTAAGCCTTCTATCTGAAACTCTTTGGAATGAATTGTAATCTCTTGCCTGGTGGTTTAAGAGCTGGAAATGAACACAGTGGATGCGTATTTCTTTCCACCTTTTCCTCCTGTCTCTCTTTCTTTGTGTCTACAGGTGCAGCAGGAGACAGGCAGGGAACATAGAGGGATTTGAAATAAGACCTCAGATTCCCATTCAGTTTTCATCTTCTCCCTCTCCACTTTCATTTAAAACCCATTCTGAACCGAATGCCACCTACCTATTCAAACTCTGCTCTCAATTATCCCTCTCCACTGTGGATACCGGCGGAAATGGCCTCAGCTGGGCCAGGATTGATATAAGGAAGAACTTTCTGATAGAAAATGATACTAAATGTTAGAATGGGTTACTCAGGGAAGTAGGTTATAAAGGTGACCTCCCACCTCTAAAGTTGGCCATCATCTCCAGAGAAGGCAGAGAAAACAGCAAAGATTCTTTTCTGTCTTTTCAGGGTCAAGGTCAGCTTTACTTAAAAGCAGGAGGATAGGCTTAATGGTCCAGGGTCCAAAAGGGAATTACTAATATTGAGATGAGAGAAGGGACAGAATCTTGGAGGCTATTAGTTAATCTCAAGCAAAAGCTAGTTCCCAGACAACATACATTTCTTTCAAACCTGATGCCGGGGCAAAATTCCAGAATTTCCAGTATGCTACTATACTTACTTGGATGGACAGTCAAGATGGTCCCCTGTCCAAATGTCAGCTTTCCATAGCCGCTACCAGAGTTAACACTGTAACAGAGGCCTTTACAAGAACCCCAGGGGACTGCCGAGGCTCAGAGGCACCTTCCTCTTTCCTTCGGGGGAGCAGAAACTCACCCAAAGGGATCTGGATTTGTGAGGATGAGTTTCTTCCCACTGGAGGTGGGAGGACCAGCTCCATGCCTGGTCCTAGAACACTGGCCTGCTGTACCGGCTGCCTGCCACCTCTCCCCTCTTCCTCAGTTTTCCACCTGAGGCTTACACGTTTCTCACATTCAGCAACTCTTTCTAAAGGTCTCATTTCCATTTTACAGCATCACTTTCAGGACAATTTCTCTGATCGGTTTTCAAGTCATGTCCTCCCTCCCTTTGAGGAGTCACGCATTTCTGATGACAATGAATTGATTACAAGAAGACAGGAGGAGAGTGTTCAGCTTTTAGTGAGGCTGACTAGAATTGGATGTGGTTTAGGCTCCGACCTCATGAAACACTGTCTCCAGAGCTTCGCTTCATGCTCCGGCATAAGAAGTGAAAAGGACGGGCACATTTGACGCAGCCTTTTTTTTTTCACAGAGCAGCTTCTCTATCACTTTTGAGCTTGGTGAAATGTTAGTGGTATTTCACAGAAAGTTTACACTTGAACTCTGTTATGGTGATGAGCTCCCCTGGGCTGTTCTGGGTTTAGCAAAGAAAGACCTGTGTCTTGGGAAGCCTCTCAATCCCAGGCAAACTGGGACAGCTGGTCACTACAGCCTCAGGAGAGGTGTTCTGACCTCACAGAGCAGCCACAGTGGTAGAGTTAAGTGAAGCCTCTGATAGACGTAGGTCTCTGCTTGTTTACTTGGGGTTGCTGTAAATTTCACCCTTGGACCAAACACAGCTTCCCTTGCTGACAGTCACAACCACAGGAAGGCTGAGGCTCTCCCGGTCCAGGGCTGGGTCTGGTGGATGCCACAAAAGGTGTAAGAAGCAAAACTGAGGCAGTCTCATTATTGGCACAATGGTGATCAAACCATATCCCCAAAGATATGAAAACCAAATATTTGGCTCTTTAGTTATATTCAACTTTTAAGCTCTTCATCTGTGTTGACTGAATTTGTGCTAGTGTCTCTAGTCACCTCTTTAAGTAACCACTTATCAGCAAACGGTCAAAGCTTTAACCTGCTTATCAACATGAAAAGGGTGAGAGAAAAAGGCTATTATTTAGCATCAAAGACATGCCTATCTGCTTTAAGCACGGCAGTCAGGGATTCAAGTGACTCTTCCCTATTTTACAACGTCACAGTTTAAAGAGTTCCTTACACCCTAATCAGGACCCAGGTAAACTCAGATGTCTGCCCTTAGCAGAAACCCTCGGACAGCACCACTGAATTGCTGTGGCTATAATCTCCGTGTTCTGCTGGTTGAGGGAAGACAGATTTTAATCATGGGTCCCTTGGACTCCAGCCTTGCCTTGTAGGCCCTGCATATAAAGGGTCCATTGCATGGAAAATCTGGCATACAATTACTGTTCAGAGCTTTGGAAAGTTGCTTGCCCTGCAAAGATATTTCCTTTGCATGATTAGGCTGTCACACTCTCTGCCCTCTTGTCCACACTCTAAAGTGTCGAGGCCGACCAAGTACTGAGAGGGGCTCCTGGCTTCTCTGTGCATTCTGGCGTGTTTCTAGCAAGACACCAAAGACAAAACCTCCTGTATAGTCAGTCTCTAGCCTACGCTGCCCACCCTCTGAAAAGCAACGTCCTGTCCTTGAATCTCCAGGATGTTCATATGCATTCCCTTGAAGCTTTAATTAGATAGAACCTCAGAGACTGCTGAATGCAGGGGATTTAACAATGTTATGTATTATTCATTGTTTCTGTTGTTGCAGACGTGCGCTGGTTTTGTCCCCTGCTGAGCAAGGCACTTGTGAGCATGACAACTTCATGACTAACCACACTGCGTGTTTGTCAGGCAGGGCCTATCCCAGAACATTCCCAAGTCTGCTACCAGGCTGCATTAACTCCTTCAGTGCCACCTGCACTGCATCACCCCCCTGCACTCTTCAAGAACCCTGGGCTGTGTTTTGCAACATGCCTTTCCCGGTGCTTCATCCTCTCCTAATCACAGAAGGCAGATCTGAATCAAAGAAACACTGCAACAGGGGCACTTAGCTCCTGTCTAACAGACGGAAGTCCTTCAACAGGTTTTCCTCATGTCCGCTTTACCCAAATTATATAACTAGTCAGTCTTCCCAGCATTATTTATAAGTACCACTTCCAGAAACCTATCAGAAACAGATTTTCTAGAAGTGTCAATAGCAATTTTATAGCATTTTAAACTTTTCCAAGTACTGACACACATCATCACCATTACAGAAGGTGGGTGTGTATTTGAAGGAGATGGTGTACTTCTATTCTCACAGCTCAGAAGACAAATGACTTTTTTTCTTTTCTCCGCAGTGGAACTAAGTGAACTAGAGGCTCAATCAATGATTTTGGTAACCGAGGTAAAAGTTGGGTTAAATGTTTTGCCTGAATTAACCAGACAGTTTCACCCATGGATATCTCAGTTACTGGACTGGGGATTGAGAACAGTTCCTTTAAGAGAGATGACATGAAGGGAAAAGAAGACAAAAATCTGTCTGCAGAACTTCCAGCATTTGTTAATAAAATTGCAGGGTCCCATTATTTTAGAGATAAATTTAGGGGGAGTTTTAGTATCTGCGTCAGGAAGATTTATTTTTGGCCTGAATTTGCATAGTCACAATGCGCCAATTTCCTCTCTATCTTTTTGGCAAACATTTCCTGGCTTCAGCTGAATCCCTCAGGATCCGGGATTCAGTTTTGCTCCCTGTACCAGTAATTTTGTTTAAGATGGATGATAAGAATGTTTTTGGCTGAAGGGAATTTAGTCTGCGTACATTGGAATTCTCATCTCTGTGACCGGGGCCATGTTTTCCCAACACAGAATTAGATTCAGAAATGAACCTGGGATGTTTGAGGAGGGGCGGGGGCAGTTACTAATTTAAATTAGAAGAAAGAAGTGCTTCACTCCCACCCTGTTCACCCCTTCAAACTTACCTGGATTCACAGTTAAGAGAGTTCCTTTGCCGAATGTTAGTCTGTAGTTGCTGCCTCCACTATTCTCACAGTCAGCAGGGGCTTTACAAAAACAGGCACAGGAGCTGCTCTTCACTGGAGGGCCTCTGGGGTCAATACGGTCTTGATCTGCACTAAACTACAGGTTATTTGATAACAAAGAAGCCCCAAGGCGGCCGCTGTGGGTAGGAGCAGGGCCTCCAGAAGGCGATGGAGCCCTGGTAAATGTACCCATCATTTATTTTTAAAAATTTTATTGTTTTTCTTCTTTTCATGTCTAAGTTGCCACCTTAGTCTCAGTAACCCATCTCTTTTTCTTCTTCCCTCATTGTCTACCCCTGCCTGGCCCTCACACAGCTTTCTATTTTATTGTACTTTGGGGCTGTTTCTCTCCTTTTCAGTGAAATTGCTTGCATTGACTCACTAGATTCTGGTCGTCTGGAAAGTGATTGCAGGAGAGTGAGGGAGCGTTTACAGGGACAAGCTCGAAGGGAGAGGTTGGAGGGCCTTTTGACTTTCCCAGTCCGCCTGGAAAGGAAAAGGCTGGAGGGAGCCCACGTGGCTCCTTTCATACTCACTGGGGTTGACGGTCAGCTGGGTTCCTTGCCCGAATACCAGCTTCTGGCCAGTACTCCCTGAGTTACACCACAGCAAACAGCTTTACACAAACCCCCAGGGGCCCCGCTCCCTTCTCTCCCCCTTGAGGAGGAAGCCTGTTTTGCTCCCTGAGTGCCTGACTGCTGTGGACAATGGCCTGAATCCCACAAGCCAGGCAGGCTCAGGACAGAGCCTCCTTGAATGTTTTCTCCTGGACAAAGCCTCCTTTAGTCTCCTTGGGAGACCTGGGCCAGATTTTTAACCTCTTTGCCAGCCCAATGTTTAACATCTTTATTTCATGTCATAGAATTCTAACATTAAAAAAAAATCTTTCTTGCAGTCTTTTCAGAACTCCCCCTAAAAACAGCTGGGTGTAAAGAACGTTTACATTCAGAATACGCCAGTTCTCCTGAGTGAAGAAGGTAAGCTGGCTTCCTCCATACCATTTCTGGTACGAATGCTAGGGTCTGCTCGTCTAGGACTTAATTCATCCGGCTAAAACCTTCTTGTCCCTGAACAACTACTTGGACTTACTTTTGTGCTCATTCCTTCCCTCCAACCAGGATATTGCCAGCTCTGGTTACCAACGGGGAGCCCTCTTCCCTACAATGCCACTTCCAGGAGAAACCCACCCACATACATGACTTTCAGTCTGAAAACAGACAGTTTCTTTCCTCTGCTCAGGAAAATGTGATTAAAAGACAATTTCTAATTTTGCAAAGTGAAGAGAATTAGGAGAAAATATGATTGTCTCTGTTCTTCTTCTCCCTCCTCCCCACTCCTCTCAAATAGTTTTAAACTATTTATAGAACATCCCTTTTAGGATTAGAGAAATGTAGCAAGTTTCTAATCTCTTTATCTTTTTTCTTGCTATTTACCCAGTCATATATTTACAATCTAAATTTATGTTTCATTTCCATTTGTAGGAGATACTCATGCACTTTTTATATTACCTCCAGAACACTGTGCGTAATGATAAACTCTCTTGAAATAAACCAAATCAAAGGGTGTTTTGGGGGCTGGAAGTTGACATTTCTGTCTTCCTAAGACAGGACTGGGGTGAACAAGTTATTGTTACTCTTCCAGGCAAGGCCGAGATAGGGGCAGTCCAGCCAACTGAGCAACTAGACTTGCGGGGTTGATATGCTCATGTCTAAATAACTGTCTCCTGAGCATTGCTCCTTGGGATTCATTTGGATTTCTTTTTTAATCTAGTTCCAAAATGTCATCTTCCCATCTCTTTTGCTCTTAGACTCTCTCTGACAGGCAAAGCTTAAGGTAAATCTTGTGGATGTTTTTTTGAATCTCCACCAATATTTCATCTCTGTACACATCACAAATAAAGGAACCGAAAGAAGAATGAATATAACCCCTTTGGGAGAAAGTTTATAACAGTTCTCTGGGAGAGATGAGAATAATAAATAAAAATGGAATGGCATGTGCTTTTCCTGATTATCATTTCTAATGTCTGGAGGACCCTAAATATCCAACCCAATCTAGAAACACGGCAGCTGACCCGCCTCCTCTTTAGACTCTAGTTAAAACTGGACACACAGGTCAGCCTGGGCGTGCTTTTTAAAATCTTATGCTGTTTCAGGCATAAAGGGCTCTAGGGAGGTCACCCGAAGCTAACATAATACTCGCTGGGGCACCCTGATTCTAACCTTTTGAATATGGATAATAATTTGACCATGAAAGTAGAAGGTTTACTTTGAAGTACACATTGGGTAGTTGTTATCACATGGACTTGTAAAGAAAAGTTGAACTCCAAACAGTTTTACAGAACGAACTTCCATTGTAGTAAATAGACTCCCTCATGAGCAAAATATCAGCTACCTTCAAGTTACTGGTAATTGAAAGAGGTTTGTTTTGAGAATGGTGGGCAGCGCTCAACGTATCTTTCTGGATATTGCAAGGCAGAGAGAAGGGCTGTCCTTGCATTTGGGTTGGGGAATCCTCTCATACTCCCAAGCTTAGTTGCTACTTTTCCACTGAGGGGCACAGAAATGAGTGGGTATTAAAAGGGGTTTCTCTCCTGCAGAGCTTAGTGAGGGAAAGGATAAAAGTATCTCAACCAGAAACACAATGGGTAACAGTGCCATGGGGTGTGTTTTCAGAAGTTTGTGGTCTATCTATTATGAATGTTGGCTTTTAATCCGACCCTTTCCCTAAATGTCAGCTTGTTATTAATGTCAGCCCCAGAAAATCTTACATGGCTTTCTCCAGCTAGTTTGGCTCCAAGATTTTGAGTGTTATGGGGATTAGGCAGTATTTTTTCCTAACTGATCTGACATGGAGGCCTCGGGAAGATGAGGTAGAGGACACAGAGTGGTGGTTCAGTTGTCCACCTCAGAAGGCCGCATCTCAGTGTCTCCTTTTGGATCGGGTTGCATTGTGCATCCCCTGCCATCGCTGTGTCTTTTAGTTTAATCTGTCCTATCTACCCCCTCTTTTTTTCTAAATGCTTTCTTCCCCTACACACTAAAAGTTCTACGCAGATTCTTTGGCAGACTCACATCTCCAAGAATAACGAAAAGAAACTTTACGTTTCCAAGTGCTTAAAGGTGTTGAAGAAGCAGCTGTGAAGAGCCTCCAGTCAGAAGCTGCCCTCATTATTGCTCTCACAGAAAGACATATGGCACCAAGACCCCACGGATGCTAACAACGGCGTGAGAAATTCAGTGATCTCACAGGGAGTTTCTACGAAGGGTGGCTTATGTTTAGAGACAAGTGATCTTGTTTAACACATACCTGGTCTAATACTCAGCATTGTTCCTTTTCCAAATATCAGCTTATTACCAGCTCCGGTATCACACAATGATACGAGACTCTACAAAAACCCAGTTGCCCAGCTCCCCTTGCTATCTAACGAAATGTGTGCATAAAACCAGCTCTTCCTAATGAGGGTCTGGTGGTAGAGTTCAGGGGCCACCGGGGCCCCTCCTTTTTCCTTGCACTCTGTCACTTCACTGGGAATGCGATGACGTCTCCCCCCAGCACACCTGTTTTAGTGAAGCAGGAGTCAGAATTACCTCCTCTTTTTACTGAGGAAGAAAATAGAGGCTCAGAACGATTTTTCTTAGTCCCATGGAAAAAGAATCTCATCAATTATAATAACAAAGTAGGCTTCCTAACAGTCTGACTCCTTGGTTCAATGCTCCACTAGTACCGCCATTCTCGTCCATTAGATAAAATAGCACCTGAGGGGAAACAGCAGTGTCCTGCACGGGGTGGGTGCACATCAGCTGTGGTTCGAACTGGAGTCTGTAGATGGGCTGCTGTGGTTTGGACTCCGGTTATAAAGCAGAATGGAAAATTTAGGAATCAGTCTTTCAGAGAGAAATGTGGAAGCATTAGTTACTCAAACTTACGTGGGTTTACTGTCAGTTTCGTTCCCTTTCCAAAGGAGACTTTTTCAGATCCTCCCTGGGTTACACCCTCACACACTGCTTTACAAATACTGCCATGGCCCTTCCAACCAGGCGCTGGGAGCCACAGCTCCTGCCCGCCCAGTAGGGGGAGCACTAAGCCCAACACACAGCACCCTGTGATGGTACAATTGCATGGTTATTCCTGAAAAGAGAGCAACTATGGAAAAATGTAATCAATCATTACCCAATGGCCAGTTGTTAATGAATTAACCAACCTAGCTGTTTGGCAGTTGCAGTTAATTTGAAATAGCTCAGCCTTTGGAGTCAGGGCAAGTCCTTTAACTTGCTAGACCTCAGTTTCTCTATCTGTCAAGTGAAGAGAGTGGTAACTGCTTGGGGATGTTGCTGTAAGGATCAGGATGAGAGCACATTTCTTTAGGAATTATTTTTGCAACTTAGGAGACCAGACCATCAGTGACCCCCCCTTCCCCCCAATAAAATCCCTCCAAAATAAACATTAAACTTGGAATCTGAAGGCCAAGAATTAAATTATAGGTCCTCTTTTTTTCTGCATCAGTTTGAGAGAAGTGCTTCTATACAAACATCAAAAGTTTTCTTCTCTAAAATGAGGATAACAACAGCACTTAACCCTTGGAGCTGGTACGAGGATTGAATAGGATAATGGGTAGAAAGTAGGCAGCACATTGCCTAGTATAGAGTAAGCAATTCATAAATCATCATTATTTTCCTCCCGAGAATCCAAACACACTATCCACATTCTTTTTTCACATTGACCTAAAAATCTCTAAGGCTCTGGGTCTCTATAAGGCTCTTCCTTTAACTGATGCACCAGGAGGGATTTGAGGGTCACAGAAGAGGCTGCAAGCAGTTTGATGAGGGGGTTAAGTGATTTTGTGGGAGTTTAGTGAAAGCTGCAGTCAGCGGCATGGGTGCACCTCCACAACTGACAGCTTTGGTGGAAAGGACACCTTCAGTCAGGCAGAACTTGAATATTAGCAGATACGGGTCGAGATGCCACGTCTCCATTAGTTGGGGTTAAAAGGATCTCAGATCACATTCAAGAAAGGGTTTAATGCACTCGTCCACTTACCAAGATTCACTGTGAGCTGAGTTCCTTTCCCAAATGTCATCTTAGAAACACCAGCTTGTTGAACACCATGCTGAGGGGCTTTGCAAAAACCTATGGCGTCAACTTAATGAATCAAGCTTTTCAGAGGTTCTGAAGAACTAACATTTTTCTTCAACCTCCAATCCCTGAATATAAGATAAGTGGTGGTGTCTTTCTTTCTGGTAACCCAGAGCTTTCAGGGCTGAGAGGCATGTCCAAGAGATGAGATTGTCACTATAAGATGCCAGCAGGCTCAGCAAGCCAATTCTGTATGCATATTCTGCATGCGGTCCAAAGCATTTGCACAGCTGATGCAATCTATCATAGAATATGAACTCCCACTGGGAAAGAAATTAGCTCTGCACAATTTATAGGTAGTGATTGATGGTCATAGCCATTGTCCGAAGACAAGACCAGCATTTTCATTTTGGCTTTTACCATCCCTGCCTCAGTCTGCAGATGGCTGTCCCTTTTCTCTAACATCGAGTTCTGCCATTATCCCCACTTCCGCTAGATTGTTCTCCCCAACAGGCCTGCGGTAATTTTTATCTCCCTTTAGAACACTAGGGTTCTGTTTTGAGATCACTGAGTTTTAGATAGAGAATGTGTGGGGTACAAATGAACCTGCCAAGGATCACGATGTTTTCTCTCCTTTGGGTCTGGCCTCGTCAGAGCTATGAGTGGTTTTGGCTTTGCCTGGGACTCGACTCAGATGTGTGACATTGAGCAAGTTCATAAGCCTCTCTGAATTTTACTGCCTTCATTTGCAAAATTAAATTGGTGAGTTAGGTGTTCTTTAAAGACTTTACGAGCTGTAAGTCTTTGACTTGATTCTCTGAATCTAATTTATCTAAAAATGCTGTGTGAATGTTTTTCCTAGGGTGCCCACTCCTCCCCATTTCCTAAATAGAATAAAACAGGCACATGAAAGAAAGGCAGGTCTCTACTTATCACATAGGGAAATAGAGTTTCCAAGCCTATCAGCTACCTTCACATCTGATCCTTTTAGAAGTTTGAAGCCAGAATTTTGGAACGAAATCCTCACAGTGAAGTGTTCTTTCTTTGGAGCTTCCAGCAAATTAAAAACCCAAACCAAACGAACCAGCACCTCTGGTTTAAAGCTAGTACTTACTAAATTTCACTCTCACTTGAGTCCCGGTTCCAAATGTAAGTTTCCTGTTTCCTTCCTTCCCACAGAGGCTGATGCCTTTACATAAACTACAGACTTTTGCATACCCACAGGAAAGTGGTTTGATCTTTACTGTCTTTTCCCACTGGATAAGGGAATTCATCACCTAGCCAGGAGTTTCAGCTCCCCCACGGCCAGGGCTCAGTTGTGGAGGGGGTTCTGCTGACAAGACGTCGGAATGGAGGTACTCACCCAGGCTTACAATTAACTGAGTCCCCTTCCCGAAGATGGGTTTCTCAGTGCCCTTCACACAGTGCCTGGGCCCTTTACTAAAAGTCCCTCTCAGCACTGAGCTGTGACTTCCTCTCCTCAGACCACACACAGCCTGTCTCTAGAGTGATTAAGAGCACAATAGGGGCCAGCTTTGTGAGCAAGGTCACTTAGGGTGTCCCTCTTTACTGATGCAGCCTGGGACTCAGACCATGAGGACAGAGGACCAACCATGTTGGGGTGGCCCAAAGCGCTTCTCTGGCTTCACAGGCAGCTGAGACCCCCACACCCCTGAACAGGCCATTTCTTGCTGCTCACCCTGTCGTGCAGATCTGTAACAACCATAATGCCTGGTGGTTCGCCGCTGGTTCTGCCCTGCAGCCAGGAAGGCCACCCCTGTGGGCACCAAGCACGTGAGCGACGCCAGGCCCCTCTTTTTCGTTATTGGAAAGACTGAAGACGCTACTTTCCCATATGGACTGCTGGGAGCCCGATTTCAGAAATGTGCGAGTCTTGAAAAGCTTTCCCCTGAGCTTTGCAGATCAGCTCAAGAAAACTTAAAATTGGGAAGATAAAACTGCCCACAAAATAACAAAATACATGCTGAAGCCAATCACAAAGTAACAGTTTTGATTACCTGGTGTTTTAGACTATCCGTGCATTGTGTACATCTTGCTCCCCTGAAGCCAAGCTTCTGACTCAGGGCCACAGTTAACCGTGCCTGGGGCTCGGAGGTAAACCTGTTCTCGTGCACCCAGTCTCTGGCCCACCGACAAACCTCTCTTCCATGAGGGCAATGGCCACATCTCCTCAGAAACCAGCCAGAGGATCCCTGGGAAAAACTGCAGGCCCTTAATAAATATTTGTTAAATTGAGTGCATTAAACATTCATCTTGTATTCCTGTTCCTTGAGGAACACTTGAATATCCCTGTGATAATGTTCAGATGGAAAAAAATTAATTCCTCCAGGTATTACTTGCTGAATTTCATGATTCTTCTAGTCAAGACTCCGATGTCAGTTTTGTATTAACCCTGTTCCCACAGGGGTGAGCACCTTTACAAAAACCAGGCGAGTCAGCATGGCTGGAAGGGATGTGGTATCGACCTTGTTCTCCTCCCTCACGATGCTGAGAGACCCCTCTGTCCCCCACAGGTGCCCACCTCGCCCGGGAAAGGTCTGCCCTTTTCCCTTCTTTCAGAGCAGAAACAGGATGGGAGCAGAAAAGACTTCAGGATGAAGATGATAAATAAGATATCAAATGTTATCACACTATGCAGAACCTTCTTCTTTTTTTTGGCCAAATTGATGTTTTTACCAAAGGCTGTTTTCAGCACACTCTCTCTCCCAGATGCAATAATAACTGGATTCCAAGTCGGCATCTGGGCTTGAACCTCCAGGCTCTGGTGAGCCACACATATTGAATCAAGAAATTACGCTAACCCCCAATGAAGAAGCGTGTTTTGCTTTTCCGCCTTGCTGGGCAATGAGTTCAAGCAACATGCACAGGGAAATAGAAACTAATAACTCTCTCAGATCATATCTGTAGCCTTGTACGTTAGCATCCTAGAATGCGCAACCTTAAAGGGAACTTTGCAACTGTGTGGGCCCATGCCCTCATTTTGAAGACGAGGAAGCTGAAGCCCTGAGGGGTAAATTTGCTCCAGGTTATGTAGGTAGGTAGAGGCAGACCTGGGGCTAGAACTCAGAATACCTGAGTCCCAGTCCTGTTTTCTGCTGCTCCCTTCATGGGACTCAGGACAACAAAGACCTGGCCTGGGTATCCCCAGTCTTAGAGGGTCTGCTGAGCAACCCAAGTCTGATAATCCCTGTTAAACAGTGGGTGCGCCATTCAAGGGAGGTGTTTGGTGTTCGCATATATGTTTATGATTTTAGAGAGAGATACACAGCATCTTAATTAATTTCTAATACTTTATTTCTTAGGCTGCAGCCAACAGCGATTGATAGTGGGGGAAATGACTCACAAAAATCCCCGGAAAGACAAGGAAAAGGTATTTAAACATGTGCCCTTTACCGAAAGGATAGCCCAACAGGGACTTGGCTCTGACTCTTCTTTCTCTGCGGGACTCATTACAGGGATGACGCCTAGAGCAGGGATGGCAAATGCCAGATGGTGTGGTGTTGCCTGCTGCTCCTGCTCCCACACAGATATTGCTAATAGACACATCATTCTTCACCTCTGAGTCTAGAGTTGGCCTCACAGTTCTTCTTAACAGTGTGCTCCAGAGAGCCACGACAAAAGGCTAGCCCTTGGTAATTGAAATGTAACCTGCTTGTCCTCCCTGCCCTGAGGAATAATTGGAGAGAAAACCCTACAGAAGGCTTGATAAATCTGGTTGGCAAAAGTCAGGCCAAGTCCCACACTGCCCAATCACGGGAAGTATCACTGACCTGGTTGGACCACAGGTGCTCCAGAGGTGGTGGCGGCAACGCCATGGAGTGTCCTGTCTTCTTCACTGCTTTCCGTCAAACGCTGGCTCTGTAGAGGACATTGGGAGACAAAACCTGGCAGGGTTCCTCATTCTTGTTCTTGCCCATAGGACCTTCAGCAGGATCTTTCCTCAAAACAGGTCCTGGGGATTGAGTACGACTTCTGGATCTCGACCCCTGTCCAGCATGTTTCCTGTTACCCATCAGCCCAGGTCTGTGCTGGGGTCTCAGAATGGAATGTGGTACAGGAAAAAGGGGTGCAGAAACCCTTTCTCTAGGCCCCTCATTCCCAGGACCACACATTCAGATGTTTTTAAGCTTTTCCTTTGCAATTACACTTCTATTCTTTCACTAAAAAGAGATGCACTTGTTCATATCCATCCAAAGAAATCTCCCTATGTCCATTGTTATTGCATGAAGCATTTTGTTGACAGGAAAATGTCCATCTACCCTTTTAGGGTGCTGTCTCATGTTCTCAAAGACAGTCCTCTTCCAGTGACTGGGGAGAATGAACCCTTCGGGCTGACCGAGCAGCAGCTGCCGGTCTCAGAGTTGAAAGGGAAATGGGAACAGAAGCAGCAGCTTTGTTTGTCTTAAGTTGTGAATGAAGAATATTTTCTTCCCCTGACCTATTTTCTGTCAACATCCAGAATGACTTATTTATGGAGATGGGCTAAGTAGAGCAGTAGAGGGCGCTGCAAGGTCAAAAACAAATCTGCCCACTTCAGAGGAAACTGGGAGAAAAGTCCCTTTCATGGTAATAGTAGTGATCAAGATCCAAACTGTGGGACAAGGGCAGCCTTGTTTACAAAACCCCTTGGACCTCTCCAGGTTCAAGGGCCCCCTCTTGAGTGGTGGTTTTTGGCTACTGGAAGGCAGCCCAGGGCACTGTCTGCCTTGGGGAGCTGCTCAGGCTGCAGATATTGGTAGCTTTTAAGGAGATGGGGTAGCGAAATTCAAGGGCACTAAGTCTGTAATAGGTCATTCAATCTTGACAGTCATTTTTATCCCAAAACTTTGGGCCACTCGGTTGCACATTGTGGTCTCTCATGAAAAAGCCTGTGCAACTTTTGGAAGACTTAGGACAGTGGGCCAGCAGGTGCACTTCTCTGGCCCCAGTGCCCTCAGGGGTTTGGGAAGAGCACAGCTGGCTCAGGCCTTGGGGGCTCAAGGAGCCGGTGACTTGCTTGCAGCACTGACTGCACACTGAAGACGGATGCGCTTTCTTGTCTGCGACCGATTGACCTGTCTTTTTGCCAGATCTCACAACTTTGTTTCTCAGATTCACTCAGCATCTTTTCTCTGAACATTTCTGATGAGAATAAATCTCTCAGGAACGATATTCATCAGCCTATTTAATACAAAACAATAGCCACAGCAATGCCTAACATTTCTAGGTCATCTGCTGGGTACATTGCTGTAATTATTATCTCCATCTTACAGAAAGTAAATTCTGGAGCTGATGTGAACACAGGCAGTCTAGCTCCAGGACCAAACGTTGTTTTTTTAAGTTAAATAATTGTATTTTTAGTTCTTCTTGCTTTATTGAGATATAACTGACATGTAACAATGTATAAGTTTAATGTGTACCATGCATTGATTTAATGCACTTATTTATTGCAAAATAATTACCATGGTGGCATTAGCTGGCACCCCTATCATATCACATAATCACCATTTCCTTTTTTGTGGTGGGAACATTTAAGTTCTCTCTTAGCAGCTTTCAAGTATATATATCAAGTTGATATCAGTATTATCAACTACAGTCAGCATGCAGCATATTATATCCTCAGAACTTGCTAACTGTATAACTGGAAGTTTGTACCCTTTGACCAAAACCTCCTCATTGCCCCCATATTCTCACCCCCAGTCTCTGGCCACCACTAATCTACTCTCCGTTTCTACGACAGAGCCTGACTCTTGGCCGTGACTCTGAGCTGCTGTTCTGAGAGGTGCCCTTCCTGAAGGGATGCCTTTCAAGGTGTGTTGGAAGAACATCGTGGGGGGAGAGTCATGATCCTGACACCTCAAGGAGGTCTCAGAGCCTGAAGTTCTGTGTGGAGCATTGGGCGTGTGTCCCTCTCTGTGAGGGTGTCTGGAGCCCTGTCTCTGTTCTCAGGTGCAGTCAGATGTAATTGAGGTGGGGCAGTCAGAAGAGGAACAGCAGTTTAATTTGAACATTGTTGCCGCTCAGATGAGGAGGGACCCCTTGGCTTTCTTATAAATATACGCCTGGGCAACCCATTGAGAACAGGGACAGTCACCAAGAGCCTGGGTGAGGACTGGCAGAGGCCACGGATGTCAGAGACCTGAAAGCGCTGGAGTGGCCTTTTGTCAGCAGAAGTCTGGGTCCCCGTGGAGGGGCCCTGCCTGCAGGTGGCAGTGCAGGCCTGGGTGGCAGCTGCTCAGTGGAACAGCTCCTCTGGGGGGCGTTCGTGGGGGAGGCTTCCGACTGCAAAGGTGTTCACCTTTGGTGTTCTCCATGCTTTGAATCAAATACAAGACGTGCTGTGAAATTTGAATTTCAGATAAACAGTGACTACTTTTAAAAAATATATAAATATGTCCCAAATATAACTAATTTTTATTGTTCATTTGAAATACAAACTTAACTTGATTTTTTTATTTGCTAAATAAAACTTTCTGGCAACTTTCTTCATGCCAGTGGTGAGTTTTTAAGGGAACAAAGTTGTATTCCTTTGTTCCAGATATTTTTGGTTGTCAATTATGTGGCAGGCAAACTCCTAGGGGATGGGGATGATGTATCAGTGCAGAGATAACCGTGTTTTTTCCCTCATGGAGCTTACATGATGCTGTGGATGTGCTGGGGGGTGTTGAGATGGGAGAAACAAGTAACACATGTGTATAAATCCAATGATTTCAAATAGGGACTCGAGAGAAAATAAGACAGAGATGTAATTGAGGGTGACCCCCCGGGGGTGTGAGGCAGTGACCAACTTACTTGGAGTGGCCAGAGAAAGCCTTTTTGAGCTGAGATTTGTGAAAAACTCAGGCCAGAGTTTTAGGCAGCTAGAGAAGTGAGGCAGACAGAGGACCAGAAGGGAGGCCACAGCAGCCGAGGGGAGCAAGAGAGGGAGGAGAGGAGGTGCGAGGAGTCAGGGGTCAGGCCACCTGCAGGGTGTCACAGGCCCAGGAAAGGAGGCCCAGCTGGCACCGCCTGATTTGCCCTTCATAAAGGCCCAACAAAGAGATCGTCTGGGGACAGAAGCAGGAGCAGGGGGACCAGTCAGTGGTCTCGAGAGATGACGGTGTTTGGGGGATGAAGGAAGTGGATGGACTGGAGATATATTCATGGTGGAACTGACAGGGCTTATGGATGAATTGGGGGAAAGAGTCAAAGAAACTGCTATAAGTACTCCTAGAAACAGTCCTAGGTTTGGAGCAATGAATTAGTCAGTCTTCTGTTTTTCAGGGCCCTGCCTCCCAACTGTGGTCATGTCCTGGCTTGTGTAGAAAACAGCGTTTGTGTGGCAGGTGGCTGGGGAGCTGGCTGTAGGGTCTCAGCAAGCTTGTGTCCCACCTGCTCAGGGCAGTTTACCCATCAGGGAGCTCTGCTGTGGGGGGTGGATTTTTCAGCTAGAGTCAAGTGGGGGCTGCAAGGGGCCTAAGGAGAGAAATGCAGGGGGCCCTCCTCAAGAAACGAAAGAAAAGATTTCTAGAATTCATGGCTGGAACATATTTTAGAGTCCCTCCTGTCTGACCCTCTTACCGCTGTCTTTATACCGGGGAGTAAGGGGCTCGTCTAAGGAGCCCCTTCATTCCACTTATGGAGTCACGTGTGCACAGCTGTGCTGGGTGCCGAGCGACTGTGCCGCCACGGTCAGAGTGCGGCCACCGACCAGCGCCCCAGCCTGTGCCCCCAGGACACAACAATGGAGGGAAGGCCGCATTTACAGCGATGGCTATCTAAGCCTGGCATTGTTGGACTTGCACTTTTTACAGTTTCTAGTCCTGTCTTTTTTTAGCAGGTAATTTATTTTCATTGTGTTTTTACCAAAGTACTAGTTCCAGGTGGATTGAGGACCAAAATAACAGTAACAACAACGTTTCCTTGGCTGGAACCCTTTGCCGCAGAGCAATTCAGTCACGTGACTGTCAGGGCCGCCCAACTTCTCTTGTTTCCTTCCCTGCCGCCTCCCTCTGGTCAGAGGCCCCCAGGTGGTCTCCGAGGTTTCAGGACCCCAGTCTTACTCCGTATCCTCGGCTTTGATGTGAAAAGACGATGATCTATACTGTGGGCATTAGCCTTTTGCTTTTCTGTAAGTACATCCATGGGTGGATGCTCCTCTCATTCTGCCACCCGTTTCACTTTCTTTGACTTTCAAAGGCTTGGAGCCTTTCTCTCTCACGTGCGTTTTCCAGTCATTCTCTGACTTTGACCTTTATCTTTGTGTGCTTCTCCTGCCTCTGCCCAATGAGTTCCCTCTGGGTGGGCTCAGGCTGGACCCAGGGGCTGGGGGTGCAGGACCTGACTATTTTCTCACTTCTTCTCTTCACAGACGAGGGCATGCTGTGTGAAAAAGTGACCCAGAGTTCCCCAGGCAATACTGTGGAAAGTGGCAGTCAGGTGACACTGCCCTGTACTTATGACTCCAGATACACAGATCCAGATTTATACTGGTACCGCATGAGGCCAGATCGTTCCTTTCAGTTTATCCTTTACAGGGATAACATTAGGGTCCTCGATGCGGATTTTACTCAGGGTCGGTTTTCTGTGCAGCGCAGTGAGACCCACAAAACCTTCAACTTGGTGATCTCCTCAGTGAGGACTGAAGACAGAGCCACTTACTACTGTGCCATAAATCTCCACGGTGATGCAGGTGCCCAGGAAGTCTGCACATAAACCCCTGGGCGTGGCCTGGCAGAGCCGCCTCGTGTCCCTGGACATGGCAGCCTTCTTCCTGGTGACACTGTGTTCCACCTGGCCTTCAGAGGTGCTCTAACATGTCTGCTAAATAATAAAATGCCCGTCCTATCCAGGGGAGTAGCTTGGCTTCAGATGGAGCAGAGCACCTCCCCCTTCCCGACACGGTGCCCCCTTGCTGCCTGGGGCCTGTGGGAGGGAAGGAGGGAGAGCTGCGCGACTGAGGGAAGAGTGGGCTCGACAAGTCTGTGCTGTGTGTGCTGTGCAGGTATCAGAATTCAGCAGCTGAAGGGCCAGTCTGGGGGAGCCCATCAGAAGTGTCTTTATTTTAGTCTCCATTATTTATCCACTATTGTGAATTGTGATTCTTTGTAAGAATCAAATCTGACACAAAGTTATCTATTTAAACACATTTTCCCCAATTTGCCTTTTTTCTGTGTCTTCTTGTGCAGCCACCTATTTCTCCAGGATGCCCTTTGACACCTCCATTTCACTTACTTCATTTGGAGAACGTTTTTCGTTCCTTGAAGAGCATCAGGATATTCCTGTGAATATCCTGCCTGTGAATCCCAGAATCCCAGCTTCAATGTCCCTGAGTCTGGAGCTCAGCAGTGTCTCCAGGGGAGAGAACTACCCCCGGCGGGAAACAACTATGTGACGTCAAATCAGATACCCCCTCAGCCTGGGAATCGGATCCCCTTCTCCTACCTCCATCGAATTCCCTGCCATAAGACAAATATTAGAGTTATATGTTAGAAATAGTAATGTCTCAGACATTATTTTATGGGAAACACACTTGAGTCCAGAAAAATGAAGGACATTCCAGGTCAGATGGCTAGTTAATGACAGAGCCAAGGTGCTGAACCTCCTTTCTAGGCCTCTGTCTTGCAGCTGCAGCCTAGGAGGTGGCATCAGTGGGTGGTTTGGGCAACAGTTCATCTGGGCTTTAAAACAGACTGGTGAAGAGCCGTCACTATAGGGAGGAAGGAAAAGAACGGGGAGGGAGCCACCGGCCCTGGCAAATGACTCAGCCTGGGGCTTTTGTTCTGCTGCCTACCGAGTGTGTAACAGTTTCCTGGAGACTCCCTCAGGGCTGTTGTGATGAAGCTCTGAACGCCCTGGAAAACTGTAATTCGCAATGTGATGGCCCCCAGACCTGAAGGCAGGCACCACCCCCTCTGGTTCCTGCCCTCAGTCTTTCCTGAAGGGTCCTTTCCGTGGGAGAAATTCATGGTCCTGAGACGTGCTGGGATGCCTTTTTTCTGATGATCGAAGTGGGTCAGTGGGTGGCTCGTTTGTATGATAAAGGATAATAGTATATTTAGTTGATCTGGCCTAACAACTTCAAATCAATGCCTTCAGCGCATGAGGTGTGTGCCACTGTAGAGAGGCTTGGGTGGCACGCTTGATAATTTGGTTCTGCTCCCACTAATACCCCTGCCTCACTGGATGATTTTGGACAAAGGTATGTACCTTTTTGGAGGGGCATATTTTTTCCCATTTGAAAAATGAGAATGTGATATTTTGTTCTTAGCAACTTCAGAGAATCAGTTTACTGTGACTCAAGGTAACAGGTATGAATGTTTTGAAAGCAAGCATCCTTTACACATGGAAGATGAAGTTGTGTGGAATCCTTTTATGGTTTTCCCTTGAATGGACCTGGTTTATTCCCCTAGATTGTTTTGAAAACAAGCATTCTTTACTCAGAGTACTTCTGCCTCTTGTCTTTGTTTGGGGCTGCGAGGACATGATGTGGGAGTTTGCAACGGCAATGGCAGTGGAGTTGGTGAGGGGGGCTCTTGTGCTTGTAACCTCACAAGCCCCCACTTGACACCCGCATGAGCGCTGAGGAAACCACAACACTGGGTTTCTAGGGCTCTGCTACCGGCGTGGGTGCACCTGGAAACAGCTGTGGCCTTGCTGAGGCGGGAGTAGCAGAGCTCACGGGCCACGGTGGGGACACTGCTGTTGTTAGTTGCTGCAGTAGAAATAGCAACAGTAGGAAACCCACGGGCAGGTCCCCGAGTCAGAGGCCTGAAGGCTGGGGGCTCAGGAAGCTGGGGTGTGACCTAGAAGCTCAGCCTGACCATCGGTGAATTCACCACAACCACCTTTCCCCTGCAGTGGTCGCAGTAGGTGAAGCCAGAAGTGAGGCACACACAATGCACTTGAATAACTGCAGCAGGGGCAGTGTTAGAGGGAAATGGCAGAAAAACAGGGACACGAGGGACTCAGGCGAGAGGCAGTGTCCAGTGGCCTCCAACTCTCCACGCAGAGATGGGTGGGAGAGAGGTAGTAAAGATACTGCTTTTTACAGGGGAAATCTAGGGCTCTCATTCCTATCCTTCCCTCTAAAAAATCCTGCACAGTGAGTTGCTTGAAAGCCAGGCTCCTGTCTTGTTCATCTTTGCACCCTCAGCACAGTGCCTGGAATTTAAAGAGATTCAACTCACATTTGTTAAATCAATTAATAGAAAGATGCGCATTTTCTCTGTCCTTTTCTCTGATCTCTGTGAACAGCTTGGAGAGTATTATTTAGATGAGATTTTTTTTTAACCCTGTTGCCTACAGGGAGAGTGTTAGGGAATCCAATGTCATTTTGTTGATAAAGTAGTAGAAAGAGAGAAAGTGCTTTTGTGGATGTGATGCCTGTTTGGGCCAATCTAGTGTTGGGTTTTGAGCAGAGCCTTTCATGTTTAGGTAAAGGACCTGCTTTCCTTCCCCCAGGGTCTGTTTCTTCTTGCAGAACAGAGCTGGGAACCTGTTGGCTTCTACTTTTTATTTCTGAAGGCAAAGTAAAAGGAACAAGACACCATTTTCAAAGTGTATCAGCTGTAGAAATAAAAAACAAGCCCTCTGTCCCTTTGTATCTCTATACCCATTTATAAAGCAGCATATAAAGCACTTCAGGCCACCGACCCCCACCCCCAGGACTTTGTCTTCCCACCAGGCTGGAGGATGAGCTGGGATTGTTGCCTTCAAAGAAAAACTTGTTTGGGTAGCAGCCATTTAAGCAAAGCTGGGATGGGTTAACTTGAATTACCGAGAAGTTGGGAGCCATAGAGAGAGCAGTTCTGTAGGCTTTTGGATTCATTCAGAGTGCGTAGCCTTCTCCTGCCAGTCAGCCTACGAGTGAAGGGAAGTTGTAAGAGTTGATGTAGAATCATAGACTGTCAGTCAATTCTGGAAGGCATCATAGTGGCCATAGTCTGGGGATGGCTGGTACTTGCTGTGACCGTACCACCGTAGACATCACTAATCTCTTCTGGTACATTTCCCTTGCACACATGGTAATAGTTCACCTGGCCATTCCCAGTGCATCAGTGTTGCCATAAGTCATGACACCCACTTGCTCTCCCTGAGTCGTTCTTAACTCCTTTGTTTTACAGATGCAAAAACCCAGGCCCAGGGAGGTGAAGCAACATGGTTAAGGTAACATAAGCAAGCTAGTAACAAAGTCAGGAATAAAACCCGGATCTTCTAACTTCTTGTGTAGTGCTCTTTTTTATACAGCCACATGGCCCGTGTCCTTGGGCCTGCTGGTAAAACAGTCACCTGTCTGGGGCTGACTGGCTGTGCTTGCAGGCTGGGGCGAGTCAGTCCAACACTCCTAGTCTAGGGTTATTCCTAGATCAGGAGAGGGAATGAGGAGTATTTGGGCATATTGGGGAAGGAGCTTCACAGGCAAACTTAGACCCCAATTTGAATTTCATATTTAAGTTCACCTGAAGAGGGAATGCAAGTAGTGCCTAGCAAATAATGTCTCAGCCCTGACTTTGTGTGCATCCTGAGTAGCTAATAGTGGGCTCTTCATGACTAATGGAGGTACAGGCTCATCCCAATGATAGGCTGGTCTGTACATAAGAGGCCTAAGATCAAGGATTGGGAGCTAGCATCCCCTTTGTCAGAGCTAAAACATGTTCTGCTGCCCCTGAATACACTTCAGGTAAAGCTTTACTGACAGCTTTGCAAATAACCCACAGCCCCTTGGAGGTGGGCTGTTGTTATGCTGAGTATTGAGATAATCTCCTTCATTAATTTGAAATATGTGTCTTCGTGTTTCTCCCTTCCCAATGCTTGGTTTTTTACCATTTCTTAACTTTTTTCTTCCATGTGCAGCATCATTTGGGTGGAAGTAGGGACAAGAACTAGCTAATTCTTACCTTAACAGAAAAATAACTTGGCAGTCAAGAGAAAATTGACAGCAACAGCCTTGATGAACAGCAATCGGAGCCCGAGGATGGTAAGGGACGTCATGTTCACTTTCCTGGCAAGAGCTGTGGTTGAAGAAGGGTGAACATGGTGGCTTCCTTCAGAGAATGGATTCCCTTCCAGGCATTGGGCCCACAGCACTGACACCAGCCTGCCCGAGTCACCATGAACCTCCCTGGTCTGTAAGCCCAGCTTGGTGTCAGATGGCCCTCAGCGCCCAAAGGCTGCTGCTCACAGCCAGCCCTGCCAGCTTTGGAAACCCATGCTTGCTGTTCAAGCTCTGCCTGGAGAGTCAGGGGGAACCAACTGGCCTCAAGTACGGTTTTTGTTTTCTTTTGAAATCTGATGAGTTTTGGCCTTATCAGACATTTGCTTTAGCCCTTACTAGTGAAGCTGACCCTTTGATTTCAACTAACCTTTGGGTTCATGGCAGCTCTCTGAGGTTTGCTGTATGATTTGAGGTTCCGTTGGTTTTAGGTCATCTGAAACAAACAGAAGAGGTCAGACTTACACTGGTGACCAAGCGGTTCAAAGAATTTTAGGTTTTAAAACCAGAGACTTTAAGTAAGTAAACTGAAAACCAATGATATGACTTGGTTAAAGTCATACAGTTATTTGCACAACTAACATACCTACTGTTCTGGCCTTTTAAAAAAATTACATCATGAGGCCAACATCCAGGCGTGCCTCTAATTTTTAGAAGAACTAAGATTCTTCACCTATGGAAGGCTGGATTGCCCTTTGCTCTGGCCTTCACAGTAGATTAGACTGCATCTTGATTTTCAACCCCAGAGTCTAGTAGTAGGGTAGTCATTGGCATAAACAAAACAGTTCTTGGTAAAGAAAAAAGAGGGGGATCAAGTAACATGAATTTTATCTTAGACTCCAGCTCAGAAATGCAGAACATTCAGTTTCCAGCCAATGACAGGCTCTCATTGGGCTTACAACTTGTTTCCAGCATGATGCCATATTGAGAGTAATCTGTTAAGAGTTTTCATCTCCAACTTTCCATCACCCAACATTTCTTCCCCACATTCCTGGTCCCAATGAGGCCAGATATGACCTACCTGGAGGTTGAGTTGTCTGTTCAGTCTCAGTGGAACTCACAATTTCATTGTTGTGTTCAACCGAACATTTCACTGAATTAGAATCTCCATATTGACCAAGCTTGACAGCATTGTACTTCCCACTGGGAGAGACGACGATAGCTGGGTCATATTCTATTATTTTCTTGGATGACTGGAGATTTATATTTATACTCTTGGGGTAGAAATCCTTCACCAGACAAGCAACATTTGTCCCATTTCTCATGACGAAAACAGATGGTTTGGCAATAGGCTGAATTTCTGCAGATATAATCAATTTATTTAATGAGATGCGTATCCATAATGTGTTGAAGTTAAACAATAGTGTTTGCCTCAATTTCCCTGGGGCCTAGCACTGTAACCCAGTCTTTCCTGCATCTTATTAGTGACCTGGGCTTGTCTGCATCTCCATGAGGATGGCCAAGGGGAGCAGAAATGAAAGGCAGCCAATTTGCTTTTGAATTAGGAGCTGCTAAAAGATATGGGTGGGAGCAGAGAAGGGAAATAACAACTACAAAAAAGTTTCTGAATTATCTGACTTTTAATTATTTATGTTATATTAATCAATCCTCTGGACAATCAAGGTCAGGATGAATACTTGTCTGCACCAGGTGGTTTATTTTAAATGCATGGGCCCTTGGAGGGAGATCAGGGCAGGTGCTCATGCTTTGCAGTATGTCAGTTAAAGAATCAAGGGTCTGAGAAGGACTACATAACTGTTCAACCACTCCGAGGATGGTGGTGTTGGGGACACTTCGGGGCATCCACTCCATTTCAGGCACTGGAAGGGATCCACTGAAGTTAAGTGATACATCTCTCTGTCTTCAGGTGGATACTTATTCTTTTGTTAAGGGTGTACCCTTTGGTTTCTTTTGAGTCTTTAGTCAGCAAATAACAACTATCATTCTCAGGAAGTCTTTATACACATAAAACCAGTTGAAATCCATTTTTCTTGTTTTATTCTCAGTGGAGTGGCAGAAAGTTGGTCCTAATAATTAGGTCTCCTCCCGGTCTTCTCTCCTGTGAAGCCTCACCTTGATTTATCATATATTGTTATCATATATTTTTAAAGTGCATTTTTCCACTTAAAACTTAAAGTCTTGAAGTTTTTAGGGTGGCAGTAATGATTCTTTCCTCTTGTGCCTTATTGAATTTATGAATTGTGATATATTTTGTGCCTATGGATACTTGAATTCTTAAGCTATCTTCAAATAAGTGCTAAAGAAGGAGCCCTGAAAATGCCTGAAACCAGGAAAGACAGTCAACTTGCCTGTGAATGGTGATCTGGACATATTTACAATTATATGTTTAACCGCTTGTTTTCAATATTACTGTCTTGTGTGAATATGGCCCTTAGTCTTCAAAACTTAGCTGAGTTTGGCTTCTTGGTATCAATTAAAAAATATGTTGAATTCCAGTGTACTTTTATTTACTATGGCCTATAATCAAGACATAAGGTATGGCTAAACAAAAACTCTTTGTAATGAATGGTATGTGGAATGATTTTTCTGGTGCTTTATTTTGAGTCTGGGTTTGGGTTTCAGTTACGAAGCTCATGGAAACAGAGCTATAACCAAATCAATCAGTTATGTCTGGTTGAGACGGTGCGATTGCTTGTCAGGAAGTTTCTGCTGATCGCTTTGTAGATGGACCACAGATGGCCAGGGTTTTCAGAGAGAATCAGCTGTTCAGAGAAGCCCCTCATCATTGCCATCATAATTCTCTGTTTTTTTTTTCCTCTCCTGGGAAGCTCAACTGAAAGGCTGGATTCTATTCCAGTCACTCAGGGCAGGAAACTAGTTCCTAAGAAATCTAGTTTCTTCTATTTTTGGCTTTAGCCCTAAACAAGAGGGGGATTGGGGATTTTTCAAATGGCTCCCCTGGAACCTGCTTTCAGCCTATGTGAGAACGAAGCCTCTGATAACAGGCACTGATAACTTTAGCAGTAACGGCTTAGAAACCACATGTTCTACTCATTCACCTGCCTTCAGAACTGTGACATTTCTTGCTCACTATTCTGACTTTGGTTTGATATGCATTCTGGTTGATTTTCAAGGGAATTATGAGTTATAGAGAAAAGAAACTTGTCCATTAGAAAACAAAAACAAAACAACTCTGTCTCTTTGATTACTTAAGGGTATGACCCAATCCTAGCTGGATTTAGTTGGCTAATTAAGGCTTGCTTGGGATTTAAAAATCTATATTCAAACGCAGTTGTCAATAATCACTTTGGACTGGAGAGACCTGGTTTGAATAATTTGAACAATGTTACATATCTGCCAACACAGATGTCTGAAGAAGTTCATCCACTTACGACATTGAGCTCTGAATCTGGTAGTCCATATTTTAGACAGAGCACAGTGCATTGGTTTCCTAAGACAGTTTTCTCATACTCTCTTTCTCAGTGTATGTATGTTCAAAACAATTGTTTGAAAAAAGGAAGTGTTTTATCTAACTCATTCTCAGATGTCATGGTAACCAAAGAAAAGGCTATATGATTGACTTGAGCTTTTAAAAAAATGGAATGCACTTAATATAGTTGCCACATGTAACATAGTCTATTTTTATACAGTACTTAAACCAAAATTTGAAATTGTATAAAATTTACACTATTGTAGTCCAAAATTTAAATTAAAGACTTAATTAATTGTTTATCTTTTAAGAATTTCCAGTCTTTTTGGTCTACAAATATAATTACATTTCAACATGTGTCGCAAAGTGTTATGTGTTTGGATAATTGTTATTTTATTTTCAGACTTTCTTCTTTTATGAATACTAATCCAGGGCTAAGGTTATGTTGCTGGTAAACAATACAAAGATAAGCATCTATCTTTCCTGAATAGTCTTCTTGAATAGATAAACTTAGAAATCATCCAGGCTTTAAATTGGCATAGAGTCCTACTGGCTCCCTAAGAATGGCAACATCTATAACAAATGTCCCTGACGATTCCAAGGCTGTCTACCAACAGGGGAGGTAACTTGAACATTGAAATGTCAGTTTGCTCTACCTTCTTACTCCCACCAGGTTAAACACCTCTCTCCTAAATCTCTCAAGCTGTGGAACATTGGTTCTGAGGTTGCAATAAGGCAGGCTCCCTCGTCATTTTAACCAAAGGGATGTATAAGGATAAAGCATCTTCCTGGAGAAGAAGCTGTCTAGGGCCCAAGTGTTTATTTGCCGCTGCCCCTCCTACATCTATATGTTCCAACTCATGCTCCAAACTTATTAGTGTAAGTTTTATAGATTTCTACATGCTTTCTGGGGTGCCCTGAAGATTTCAGAAATAAGTAGAAGCTACAGTTTTAACATACATTTTTTTTAAAAATAAAAGAGTTATAGAGCTACTTCAGTGATTCAGCCTAATGCCTCCACTCTGGCCCACTCCACATCTCCTAGGTATAATTTCTCAAGTAATGCAAACTGGATGTCAGCCCCACTCCCGAGACTCAATTAACCCCTAGAAATATATAGGAAAAAATCAACTCACTGGGCTCCACGAAGAGCTCGGTGCCAGCTCCAAAAAACATCTGCCGGGTGTACCAGGAGCACATTGTGATGCTGCCTCACAGGTAACGGCCTGGGGCTGGCCCTGGGGCCTGGGCTAGAACATCTGTGTCCTGCCTCCTCAGTCTGGATGGCAGCCAAGAGACCCCACAGCTCAGAGAACTACAAAGCTGCCCTTGATGAGCTCAGGGGCCCCCGTACACAGAGTCTCAGTTCTCTTTGAAGCTAACAATAGTTAAACTGTTGGATAAGGACATGAGCATGAAATCCCCAGCTGAGAAACATTGGGACAGGACAGTGCAGAGACAGAGCCTGAGAAGAGGGTGACAGGTGACTGACAGCTACCTTTAAGATGGAAAATTTAACTCCTGGTTTATTGGGAGACCTCTCTAGAAAGAACACAATAGCTTGGGAGTGGAGATGGGGCACTGAATGTTGACATTTCTTATAATGAATGTTAGGATGAGGAGGGTTTAGACAAGGTCTTGTTCTCATATTCTGGTTCCCTTCTCTTGTGTCACAAATACTGCTTTTTTATTAGAAACCTAATTTCTCCTCCATCACTCAGACTGAGTCTCACAATAATAACAAATCTGTTTTCTAATTCCCTGAGCCCAGGGAAAGGCTTTCAAAGGAATTGATGGTTGAACAAGAAATTGGCAGTTGCCAGTGGAGTCCAGTGGTGCTGTGCATTATGAATGCAGGTCAGAGGAGCCCGTGCTTGCTTTGGATGCTTATTTTTGTTTTATAATTTCTCCTGACTCTGGGTCCAGATACAAGCTTCAGGAGGATGTAGTAATCATTTGAAGGTGAATGTAAAGACCCAATGGGTTTCTTTGTCTCATCACCAAAAATTCAGTCTAGGGCTAGAGCCAAAGGGAATGACAGTTGTATAGGGCCATTATTTGCTGTCAAAACTGTAAGGATTGGGGGCTTGCTTTGCAACTCTCCCTCTACCTGAGCTTCACACCATCATGTTACACTCCATCACTGCTGGAAGGGAAAACCAGAGAACTAAATGGAGTATCATTGGAGAGCATGGTCAGCATCCCGGCAGAGGGGTTAAACATCAGTTAGCCCCTCATCTCTTTCCTTCTTCCCTAAGGCTCCCAAAGGCATGGCCTCAGATATTTCATTCTAATACTGCAGGTAATTCTGAATTTCAAGCAGAAATGATTTAAAGGGAAAATGAAACATAATACTTTTTGCTCAGATGCAATTTGTCCAACATCAATGAGATTGCAATCAGCTGCAACATAATTCTCTTTGTGTCCTTTTCGTAGCTCTGGTTTCTCTCCCCTCAAAGATAAGAAAACTCACCAAATCCCGACATTTCCCTGGAAGCAGTAGGCAACCCAGAACCCCTGTAAGTTTATATCACCCTCAGAGAGGCACAGACCCTGTTGACACTCCTAGGTGCTTTCAGGACTGTCAGCCTCGCCATATTCTTTATTTCCTCTGAAATTAAAAAAAAAATCAGAATCTAACCATGTAAGGGATTACGCATTGGACTTGGCATGCTGTGAACCTTTTGAAAGACTGTTTTCTGGCCTGGTCCCAGTGACTGACTATTGGCAGCTGGCCCAACTACCTGAATACAGCCTCTGGATTTCTAAACCCTGGAAGAGACTACTAGTGGGCAGTGTGTCCAGGAGAACACCATTACCTCTCTGTTGTCTTGAAGTGGTGGCTGTGTTTCTGTACTGGGTGCAGGCTCCTGAACCCTGTGTGGAGTGCTCAGATCCAGGGCTAACAGTGGAGGTGAGCACATAATAGCTCTTGGCAGACCCAGGGTAGTATGAGACCTTGTAGATCATTTAGTTTGAGCCAGGCATGTTGACTTAATGAAAGTTCTCAGTAAAAAGAGACAAAGGCAAGGTTAGCTTTATCATTTGAGGGAGAGAAAATGCTCCCGATCTAATTCTTTTAAGAATATGTTTCCAACTCTCCTCCTTACACCATGGCCATGACTTTTTCCTCACGAACAGTGGAAAGACTCCTCATCTACGGCTTGTCTTTTTCCTGACCCCAGTCTCTGATCAGGGGGCCAGACCAAGGGCTTTCATTAGGTAGTTGTAGAAGATTATTAAATAATCTGTAGAACACAGTTTCTAGCACACATAGACATTTTCTTGAGAGAAATCTAGTGAATTTGTCCTCAAACTTTACCCCAGCTCTTCACAGCAACAGCAATGAACCTCAGTAGATTTCCAATTTAGAACCTCCTGACATCCCAAGAAGCACTATTCATTCAGGAACACGCCACAACTCTAAGGAATATGCAGACTGAAGTAAAATGTGTTACTTACTTGCTTCCACGATGAGTTGAGTTCCTGTTCCAAAGATGAGTTTATCTGAAAGCACCACTTCAGGCGTCATGACAAAAACCTTGCCCCCTGTCTAGTCCATCCGCTTGGAAGGAGGTGGGTGGGGCAGAACAAGTGTAGCTGGATACAGAGAACTTTGCAAGGGTTTCTGAGATCTAAGCATGATGTTTTGGCAGCCTGTTTGATGTATGCTGTCTTCTGAGTGCTAATATTTAGGGAAGTCCCTAAGTTTTCTGCTATCTATCTCCTTAACATGTTGTCTTTTACTTTCAGGTCTTGCTTCAGGACCATATTTTCACAGGGAGAAAGGAATTATTTTGGTTTTGATGAGAATTGCCAAATGGCTATTGTCAGGTGAAACATAACTTTAAGGCTTAAGTCAATCACAAAAATCTATGTCTCAGTTAGAGGTGGAAGGACATGCTGGTTGGAGCAAAAGCCATTGATGCAAAAGACTTGGAGTCTGTCCAAAGGATCATAATAATCACAGACAACTATAATTTGTGTTGTTTAAGCACTTTACTACTTATAAACAGCTTGTGTTTACACTACCTCAGCAAACATTATTGTTTTAAACTGTGTGAGGTAATATATTAGATCCATCTTGCAGATGAAGTCACTGATGCTAAGAGTGCTTAAGATATTGAGTGGCTGAGCTGGGCCTCACTCTCAGGTCTCCAGAATTGTTTCCATCCACTGAAACAGTGTCACAGATAATATGACTGAAAGGTGCCCCAGAGAAAATTTGTCAAAACTCCTGTGGTCACACAAGGGCTAATGAATGGATGGATACATAGGGAGAATTTTGACTCTTTTTCCAATGCCTTAACAAATTAAATCACAGGATTTCTACTGGGTTATAAGACCTTTATACCATCGGGTTTCCTTGCTTTTCCTCTAAATTGTCTCTAAGAATTGATCTGGATAATAATTGGGATCACAGTGTGCTAAAGCAGGAAGACACCTTGGAAATCATTTGGGAATCCAAATGATTTGGATTCCTCTGGAGGGGAAACTAGAGTTCAGTGAAGTTAAGTCACAGAGCTTGTTGGCCAAAGAGAAGGATTAGCACTTGGTCCTAGAAAGCTTGGTCCAAGATGCTCATCATTATGCCTCACATTTACTAGATGTCATGTAATGTAGGTCTGGTTATGGCCCAGATCTGTAGATGGTGACGGCTTAGGTATAAGTAAGCTGGCTCTGTGAAGTTGGTTAAGTAGAGGGAAGACAAAGACTCTTCAGGAAGGATGATGGATCAAAAAGATCCACTGTACCACATGCCACATCCTGAATTTTATCAGAAACCCAGTCCTTGCTTCTCAAACGATCCCTTGCTCAATGACATGCAGGAAGGATTTTTCCAACATCCTGAAAAGTATTTCTCAGGTGGTGACTTGGGAAAATTTCTAACAAAGATAATTGCTAAATACAGTGGTCATAATAAGGAAAAACAAGTCACTTATGTGGTTCTACCTCCAGGTAGGTTCTTTTGCCAAAGACCGGGTATCGCGGTGGATAAACTTAGTCTAAAAACTGCCTTACTCTTCCTTTACAGCAACCCTGGCCCCAGTTGCCAAGTCACATGGTAGGCACTGGATGGGATTTCCTGTCTTATCTGACCTAACCTCTTTTCTCCTAAGTCTTGGGGGCTGTCATTCAGGACAAAATGGGAGGCCACTACTGTGTCAAACAGAAATCTAAGCTTTTGCCATGTTACAATGGGGACTGATGCTTTGAATGAGAGAGACTGGAGTGTTTTAGTGTGACTAGGAGAAAAGAAAGGTGGCACATTGGTCATAGAATTGTGCTTCTCAGCCTTTGGGCTACCCTTCGGTGGGGCAGAGGTGTAGTGGCTTATGTACCCCATTCATTCCTACCTTTGAGGGGAATAGCATTTCATATTCAACAGAGCTTTGCATCACTGCCTAGCATTGTGCAGCAGGCAGACCTCTTGGTATAAAATAGAATTAGAGACTGCAGTACATTTTAATAACATACTCATGAATATCAAATTTCAGCAAGCTTTAACAACATACACTTAAAAGTGGCAGTTAAATTAACCTCTGTCATATGTAAAAATCAGAGTCTATGAGGTTGCCTGCATGTCACTCATAAAAACCAGAAAAAGAACAAGCATTTTCAGATCAGTTTACAGCCTGTAAAGGACTACAGATTATACTTGGAATATCACCGCAGTGAAGAATGGTTCTCAGTTGTGGTGAAAAAGAAAGGTGCCAGAACACCCAAAGCCTAGTTCGACTCTATCCCTTACTAAGTGTATAGTTTGGCCACGTTACTTAAGTTCATTGAGCTTTATCTGCCTCCTTTATAAAATGAGGGTAATATCTTCTGTATTGGGAGATTGTAAGACTAAATGAAAGGGTGTATAGAAAGCATTCTCTGAACTATTATAGAAAGCTTAGGTGTAATTATTAAAATGTCTGTTAGGGTTAGACAACAGAGAAAATAACTTTTACTTGAGGGATGTAAGTTCATTTAGTGCAGAACTCCCCAGAGGCAGGATGGTTGGGCGAGGTTGCTGAGGGAGAAGGGAAGCCTGTGTCTTTGGTGTTTGAGATGAGAGTGTTCATTTCGTAGGGCTGTGGGTGAGGACTGGAATCCAGGTTTCTGTTTTCCTTGGTCTTTCTCTAGGTCAGGTGGATCCTCTGTTCTATTCTCTAATCTTCCCTCTTGAA